GTCCTCGATACCTCGGTCGCTTGTCTCCGGTCGCCCGAAATACACAAAAAATCGACAGCTCGGCACAAGGCCTGAGCGGCAATAAGACACGAAAATGGCGATGGCGACAGAACGGCTGATCGTCGGACCGAATCGCGTACATGGCTCACACAATAATAATGGGCAACTTCACCGATATGTATCCTCGCTGCTGGGAGGTGATCCTCGGCTCCGTCTTTTCCTCGATCACGACAGCAATAGCGACACACAAAATACGACAGCGACAATTTCTTTCTAAACGACTAATTGCGTCGAGCGCCCGCTAGAATGATTCCCTAGATCTTCCGATCCAGATCCAGTGTCGATAGTTGCGTCAATTACTACGCGCAGCGGTGCGTAGCTTCGCGGCCAATCACGCCGCGATATCCTTGCGCCTCGCAACACGCGAGGTATTTCTGCGCCTTGTGAGAATGCCGTATTGGGGCCGTAACGGCCCCGAATATTTAAATTCCGGCTGTCGTGGACCCTGTTTTTGGTGATCCTGTGGAGGCCCATCCTTTGTCCTCCACTTTTGGAGAGTAGTGCCGATCGGGTCCTTCCTTGCTTAACAAGAGGCGATGTTCACCCATGGCGTCTCGTGGCTCGGTTATTCGGGCGCTAGTTCCTCCGCTCGTCGGCGGGGAGCGCCGTGTCGTAGGCCGCATAGGAAATTCCTCAACATTATTTTCGCTTTCCGGATGTTCTCCGGCGGGTTGTCCGAAATTCCATCAGATACAAATTTTTAAAAATACAAATTTAAAAAAATACAAAAAAATTAGTAAGGGCGCGAAATACAAAGAATCGCTCGTCTCTCCGGAGAGTTCGATATCGTTTTCGCAATCCTTTTTCTGGCGCGGCCGCTCGGCTCGCGCCCCGTTAAGATTGCCGGGGCGGATGAACGCGCGTCAAAACGGCAACGTCACAATATATATATATATATATATATATATATATATATACACACACACATATATAGGGTGTCCCATTTTAACTTGGACAGTATAATATCTCAAAAACTAAGCCCAGCAAACAAAAATGTTTCAGACAAAAGTTGTATGGTTTCGAGGGGGACATAAGATGGTACCATTGGTTTGACCTCGAAGAGTTATTTGAAGGTCACATGAAGGTCACCATCAATTTCTTAAATGGAATCTACAATCTTTTCTCATTACATATTCTTGCAGCTTATCTCGAGAGCTTTCCAAAACATGTAACGATGCATCCCCAGTGCACGTTACGAATTCCCGGAACGAAGATCAGCCGGAAGTTGCCGCCCGGAAAAACATCCGTCGGGCAAAGGCAGGGGCGCGCCGCGCCAAATCTCTGTTAAAAATTCGAACATCTCGAACGGGTTAAACCGAAACGAGCAAGAAAACCGGGGGCGCCCGATTTACCCCGGATAGAAACCCCGCGCCGGAACCCGCCACGCCCCACCAAGCGGGCCCATACCGTTACCGTTTTTTAGTCGCTCAATGGAGGCACCCGTTTTTGTACGCCGGCGCGGGATTAATTAGCCGGGGTATAAAAAAGGCCCTCGAGTCAATCCAGATACCAGATCCTGGTTCCACTTGCGACAAGCAAAGTAATCCGGATCACAACCCATTTCTAGAGCAAAGCCAACCAAGCACCGAATAGAAGGTAGAACGTACTCTGTCTCAGCTGAGTTTTCTCAGTTTCGGACTTAGAGCCACGCTTTCTAGACCAAATCTAACTCTGTCTAAGAAAACCGTGGAGAGTACTCCTGCACCGTCGAATAATCTCGACCCAGGCAATATATCCCTTCACCGTATCGCCGTTGCAAATTTATCAGGAGGTAGAGAGCAGAGCTGCCTCCGACGAGTGTTCTCGTTCGCACGGCGGAATCCCGCGGCATTCATCCATGGCGAAAACTTATTAAAACAATTAATTTAAACCTAATTCCCGCAAACCGAGCGTCTCGAATATAGGCATTTATAAAAGCCGAGATACGAGCCGCGTCTCGCGAGGGCATTGCCCTCAGGCAAAACAACAACACAGCTGACGTTTTTTTTGTATACACGTCGGGCTTTAAACGCATTCTAATTCCCGAAACTTGCGATTTATAAACGATATTGATCTACTGCACCGATTATCCGTCACATTGTACGCACCGGCAGGAACGGTGTCCTGCTATGCTTGTGTTGACGCTCACTGACGTCACACTCACACAAGCGAAGCGCACATGTACGCGAGCCGGGTAGCGGGAGAGAAAGTGGGGGTAAAGTAGTGGGGGGCATTCCAATGTTCCGTCATTCGCGCACGACATAAGAGCGAGAGAGAAAGCACTATGAGACGTGATACCGAGTTAGTGATGTCCGACAGCCGTCTCTCTCGCTCGGCGCTCGAATGAAAGAGTGCAAGCGAGACAGCTATATACCGCACGGGACACCGCGCTGTCTCTATACGCGACTCCCGCGCTTTAATATCGATATCGATATATTTTTCATTTCTTTCTTTAACGGAGTGAAAATGCGGTTGAACCGCGTGCACCGGCGTATTCTATTAAATATTAAATTAAATAATAATTATATTATATAAAGAGAAAATTTAATGAGCAATAAATTCTTATAACTAATTGTTATAATAATTAATTTTTATAATAATTAATGTTGTAATAAATCTCATAATTCATTTAATCATTTAATTTTGTAATATCTTTAATATCTTTAATCTCTTTAATATATCTTTAATATCTTTAATATCTCTTTAATATCTTTCATATTTTTAATTCTTAATTCTAATAATTCTAATAGATTTTATGATAATAAATTCTTTCTTTTTATCCTACAGTCACTCAACAGTCCTTCACTCACTTAATATTCGAATAAAGAGTGAGAGTAAGACAATTATGCTGGCCAGACATTGCCGTTTGTGCGCCATAGCTGTCTCACTCGCACTGTCTACTCGACTATTCGAGCGAGTGAAACGCCTATAGGCGCTTCTCGCAGTGTGAAAGTTTTATTGGCCCTGAAAAGAGTCGATCGTGGGACAAGCTGCGGAAACATGCATATCAATAATCCGTCTAGTATCCGGACCGGTCTATTACTTGATTGAGTCGATTAGGTATCGAATCGAGGAAATTTGGTCGGAATCGAAGTTCTTCTCAGATTTCTTTCGCATGGTTGACTAACGCTGCTATCGTCTCCTTTCTTGGTTCTCATCGTTGAACCATTTGTGCCCAGACATTTTCGATTAAATTTAGATCTGGCGAACGAGCAGGCCAATTGACCAATTGTATCTCCGGATGATTCCGAAACCATGTTTGTGTCTCAAGAGAAGTATGGACTGCGGAATTATCTTGTACTAATCAGATCACTGGCATGTCCTCTGCGGAGTAGATTGCGCGTACTGATGGAAGAAGAACATCTTCCAGTATGCGAATATACTCCGCAGAGTTCATGCGGGTGGGAATTTCCACCAGTTCACCGATTGCAGTACCAGAAATCCAACCCCACATTGCGCAAGAAATCCTTCCACTTCTTTGTAAAGGCACAACACGGTTTGGATGCAACCGTTGATCTCTTGGTCACCATACGTGAGGTTGATGATCGGCAGACGATACAAAAACCTTTTCATCGGTCCAGATTATTGCCTCTCATTCCTCACGACTCGTTGCCAGGTTTTCCAAAGCGAACGCGATGCACTGCCCCCGATTATCGGAAGTCAACATAATTTTGTGGGCTGGACGATGAGTGATACCCAGCTTCGTTAAGTTGTCGCCGGGCGGTCCTCTCGGATGTCTGAACGTTTGCCGCGTTGAGATCCTCTTGCACAGTGCCGAAGGGCTGCTCAATAACTGCGACAACGATACGCTCGTCTTGTTGAGCCCTTGTTTTACGAGGACTATTGCGTCGATAATCATGCAAAGCATGATCACCGTTCTCAATGAATCGTTCTATCCATCGTCGAACAGTTTTTGCAGAACAGGGAATTGCAGCAGCAATTTCTGCTACTGTTTTTCCCGCCTGCTATTGTCCAACAATACGTCCTCGTACTTCAGGACACAAGTTTTCAGGCATCGTTATATCGCGATTTTGCACTAAGGTCAATGCTATGGCACGTCCGTTCAATGCTATGGCACGATAAATAATTTAAGAAGAGAAAAGTAGAAAATGAAAGTAGCAACAAATGAAAAGTGCGTGGAATAAATAGAAAGCGCGCAAAATATGAAGCCTCTTAAAACTCCGCACACGATAAAGAAAATATTAAAAATAGAAATAAATATTAAGAATTAATGAGATTAAAGATATTAAAGATATTAATTATTACAAAATTAATTGTTATGAGATTTATTACAACATTAATTATTATAAAAATTAATTATTATAACAATTAGTTATAAGAATTTATTGCTCATTAAATTTTCTCCTTGTATAATATAATTATTATTTAATTTAATAGAATACGCCGATGCACGCGGTTCAACTGCATTTTAACTTCGTTAAAGAAAGAAATGAAAATATATCGATATCGATATTAAAGCGCGCGAGACGCGTATAGATACAGCGCGGTGTCCTGCGCGGTATATAGCTGTCTCGCTCGCACTCTCTCATTCGAATGCCGAGCGAGAGAGACGGTTATCGGATACCACTAAGGGTCGGTTGTTCCAACTCCTTGGTAAATTTACTTGTGAATTACCTGTTAGGTAAATATCAATAACTGTTGTTTCATCTATTGGCAAAGTTTACCTATGGGTTAAACTGTTATTACCAAGAGGTAATTTTACTCGGTACTCTAACCACCGAGTAAAGCCTCTATGTTTCAGGTAAAGTGAAAATCTTAGGTTATGTTTTACGTATTATTGAAAATAATGTGACATTTTAGGTTCTGTTTTACTTACTACAGAAATGGCTTTAGATGTATATGCAGAACTTTTTGAACATGAAGATGATGAGGAAGATTATAATATAATAATTTTAATTCGTAAACCATATACTGTTCGACCGCGACCAGATCTTTTAAATATGTATGATGAAAACGAATTTATTGCACGATTTAGATTGTGTAAAGAAACAGTTCTTAGAATAGTTGATATTATTCGTGATAAAATACAAATAAGAACAATGAGGTAAGTACAATAAGTAAAATAAATAGAATATCTATTATAATTGTATTATAAGATATGATTGATTATAATATAATAAACTTATCTCTTTTTTATTTTTTTAGGAACAATGCTGTAACACCATTACATCAATTATTATTGACATTGCGTTACTATGCAACTGGAACTTTTCAGATTGCTATAGCAGATTTTGCAGGAATTCATAAATCAACTGCATGCAGAATTATAAAAAAAGTAACAATAGCTTTGGCTTCTGAATGTCATCGTCATATACATTTTCCAGAAAACACAGAAAAAACACGTCAAGAGTTTTACAACATTGCTAAATTTCCACGTGTCATTGGTGCAATAGATTGTACTCACGTCAAAATTCAATCTCCAGGTATAGTAATTAAATCGTAGAATTTAGATATGCAAATTAAAATAAAAAGATTTTTATTAAAATAAAAAGAACATTACTATATATTATTATTATGTAAATTATATGTTTTAATAATTTTATAGTTATTGTAAATATGTTTTTATAATTTATTTAGGCGGAGAAGAGGCAGAAGTTTTTCGAAACAGAAAAGGTATTTTCACTATTAATGTGCAAGCTGTGTGTAACAGTAAATTGCAATTTCAAGACATAGTAGCTCGATGGCCTGGTTCAACTCACGATGCTACAATTTTTGATGCTAGTTATTTGCGTGCCAAATTTGTTCGGGGCGAAATGCAAGATGGAATCTTACTAGGAGATATCCCTGTATAAAATTTTTAATGACTCCTTTATTGCAAACACATAATCGTGCTGAAGAATTGTATAACGAGTCGCAAATACGCACTCGAAACATTATTGAACGTGCCTTTGGAGCATGGAAACGCAGGTTTCCTGTATTAGCAGTAGGCATGAGATTGTCCATAGTTACTGTTCAAGCTATTATAATTGCAACTGCAATATTACATAATATTGCTCGTCAAATGAACGATCCTGATCCACCAGTTAATTTCGACATGGAACAACTAATTGAAGCACTGGAAAATGATGAAAATAATGCAATATTAAATAACGCTCGAGCTGATACAGCTAGAACAGTATTAATTAATACATATTTTAGCAGGTTTGTAATATATTTAAAATATTATTTAAAAAAATTCTTTTTCAATATTAATATATTTATTTTTATTTTTTAGATTATGTTCGCGAAAGACTTAGCCGTGGAGACAGGCGCGACGATAAATGACGGCAATGAAGACACCACAACTTCTTGCAATAAAGACGAGCCACGACACGTATATTTTTTTGTTCTTTTTATAGATTTTTTATTTTTAACACCACACAATTAGAGAAATAAAGTTTACACAAAATATATATTTGATTACAGACACTGAAGTGAAGCGAGAATAACGAAAAGTCCGAGTGAGTAAGCGGTCGTGTGCAATAAGCGGTTTTTTAGCGAAGCGGTTGAACTGAGAAAGCGGTTTAGCGAAAAGTGCGAGACTTCTTCGTGCCCTCGCGCTGGGCCCATTATATACCGGGCGGATTTTGGGCCTCGTTGCGACGTGGCCCAATTAACTTTAAAATTTGGCGGTGACCTCATGGCGCCGCACATAATTGGCCGCCGATGAGGTCAGGAAATAGGCGGTTAACATTTGTCATGCGTACAACTTTTTCCGATCAGCTGATTGGCGATCAGCTGATCGTGACGTACGGGCGCGCATGCCCGTTCGTTGCGCGGATTTCGGCGACAGTTGACAATGTTATTGTCAACTGTTGTCACTGAGCGTTTTTGTGCGGCGCAAAAAAAAAGAGAGATGACTTGAACGGTTGGCTTTTTGTCAACAATCGATTTTTCGAGAAGTTTCTCGCCGCCTGTTAAATTCGAATTTTCGGGATTACAATAGAAAATGCGGATTTCATTGGTACGCGAATTTTTCCGCATATGCATTTCGAACAGATTACGACTGTGACAATATTCAAATATGCAGTTCCTCCGCCAGTTTTAAACATATTAAAAATTGTGTGTAATTATATATATACATATATATATATAGTGAAATTAATAATAATGTATAGTAATAAAAATAAACTAATTTTTTTAAACTTTGTAATATATAATATATTCTTTTCATATTAAACTATATATAATATAAAATAAACTTTTTATATCTTTGTAATATATTATATAATCTTTTTCTTATTTAAACTTTCTAACTTTCTAAAAATAAAATTTTATAACTTTTTATAACTTAAGAATGGCGAGACAAAGATGCATGTTGGTCAACAATAACTGACGAATTAAATTCTCGATGTGGAGAAGCTTTTCGGAAAAAAAAGCGTAAAAACAAAATATTGGGTTGGCAAGAAAGTAATTTCGGTAATTTTAGTGTGAAATAAAACTCTTGAGTTTTTTTAACGAATACACTTTAATCAATTATATATTTTCCATTTTGGTCAATGACCTTTTGCCATCTTTCTGGCAATTTCATAATGCCGCGCTCATAAAATTTTTGGTCCTTGCTATCAAAAAACCTTAACAAGTGCGATTTGAGATCATTGTCGTTATGAAAATTTTTTCCATTTAAGGAGTTCTGCAAACTTCGAAACAAATGATAATCTGAAGGTGCGAGGTCAGGGCTGTAGGGCGGATGGGACATGAGTTCCCAACCAAGCTCCAATAATTTGCCACGAGTCATTAAAGATGTGTGAGGTCTTGCATTGTCCTGGTGAAAGACGATTCCTTTACGATTTGCCAATTCTGGGCGTTTTTCTTTGATGGCTTTCTCCAGTTTCATCAGTTGTTGACAATAGACATCTGAAGTAATCGTATGGTTCCTTGGAAGCAGCTCAAAATACACGACGCCTTTGCAATCCCACCAAATTGACAGCATGATCTTCTTTTGATGCATCTCTGCTTTCGATATGATTGAAGCTGGTTCATCACTCTTGGACCATGATCGTTTCCTGCTGATGTTATTATAGACGATCCACTTTTCATCTCCAGTAATAATTCTTTTCAGAATAGGGTCAATTTCGTTGCGCTTGAGATGCATATCGCAGACATTGATGCGCTGTGTTAAGTGAATTTCTTTCAATTCATGGGGTACCCAAATGTCGAGCTTTTTGACGAGTCCAAGACGTTTAATATGATTTTCAATGGTTGTATGTGATACCACTTCTCTGCAATCTCTCGCACAGTTATGTGGCGATTGGATTCAATTAGAATTTTAATTTCATCGTTGTCAGCTTCAGTAGGCCGACCGGAACGTTGGTTATCTTTGAGCGAAAAATCTCCTGAACGAAATTTTTTAAACCAATTCTGACATGTGCGTTCTGTTATGCAATCACCACCATAAATTTCACAAATGTCTTTATGAGCCTCAGCAGCTTTCTTCCCTTTGCGGAAATAAAAAAGTAAAATGTGACGAAAATGTTCGTTTCGGCACTCCATGTTTAAATCAATCCTGAATTAATAATTGCAAACAAAATAGCGCGCGATTTGCTTCTTAAATAAGCTAGAGGTGCCATCTGTCAAATGTCAAAAAAAAAAAGTTCTGACAGTAACAGAAACACGTGACCGCAAACATGAGACCATCTATATGGTAAAACCGAAATTACTTTCTTGCCAACCCAATACAAAGATTTGAAAAAGAATTTAAAGAAAAAATTATCCAAAAATAAAATGGAAATGTTTAAAACTGGAAATACTACTACTTATTTGCATTAGTCTTTGAAATCTCATGTTTTGTAAAAAATAATTTCTCTTTAAAGCAGTCTTGTAAATTGTTGTTTTTTAATTTCTACTTCTAATTCTTTAAGTTGAACATCTAATTTTATGAGTTTTAATTTCTCTTTGAAAATTTCTAGTTCTGTTTGTAAAATCTCTTTTTGTGTATCATCATTACTTTCTTTTATTTTTATATCTGTTTCCAACGCCATTTTTTGTAATTGCACTAATTCTACTTTTGCGTTTGCCAAATTGGCAATATCATTTTTCACAAACGATTTTGATGTATTTCCTACTTTAAGTTCTTTGCTGACTTTTTTTCGTAGAATATCAATGCCTTTTGTTTGTTTTGTACAATTTTCTGTTGAATTGGAGGCTATTTCCAAAGCGCTCACATATTTTGCCTGTAAATTTATAAAACAGTTACAATATAATTTAAAAACTAAATTCTAACTGTAAAATTAGTAAATGTTATCTTACATTATTATCATTAATGTCATATATTTTTATTTTTTTTGAATGTGCATCTGGAATTTCTTCTGCAGCTCGCTTTTTATTTATGTAATTTGTAATTTTTTCATTATTGGAATAGATTGTGTTTTTTTTCTATATAAACATATAAATAAATTAGTAATTGAAGAAAAAAATATATATATATATTTGAAAAGTGTAATTGTACTTCTTCATTAACTTCATCAAGTGTTTCATAAATCCATGTATCATTTTCATCAGTATTATCCAAATTTTGCAATTCATCTATATTGTCCTGTGCAAATATTTCCGCTACAGTTATTTCGTTTTGTTCATCTGAAACATATTATTAATATAAAATATACATAAAAATAACAAAAGAGAATTATACATTATTTTAAATAATATACATATACAGGGTGTATCAGACCATCCGTGCCAGCCGTACTAATATTACTATGTAATTATTCGAAACCTTACAACTTTTGTAGGAAACATTTTTGTCTGTCATTCTTGGTTTTTGAGATATTCGGTTGGCACGGGTGGTCTGATACACCCTGTATATATAAATTAATACCTAATCTTTTATCAGAATCAAAAACAGAAGGCAATCTTTGTATTGTTGAGGGTAAAAGAGATAAAAGCATTTCTTCTGCGGTAGTAAGTGATTGTATTTTTGCAGTTCCTCCACCAGTTTTAAACATTTCCATTTTATTTTTGGATAATTTTTTTTTTTAATTCTTTTTCAAATCTTCGTATTTTGTTTTTACGCTTTTTTTCCGAAAAGCTTCTCCACATCGAGAATTTAATTCGTCAGTTATTGTCGACCAACATGCATCTTTGTTTCGTCATGGTACTATCAGTTTTTTTACATTCGATTATATGTTTATATTTTTTTACAATTTCGATTAATGTAATGATTTCATTAACTGTAAAATTTACACTTCTATCTTCTTTATTAATGGATTCTTCCATTTTTAGTATAACTGCAGAAATGAAATGTTAAATTATTATTTATAAATTATTATTATTATATATATATATACTAGGGTGGTCCTTAACAGGGGTGTTTTCAAATTTCTATGCTCCCAGGGGCTCAAAAGCTTCCAAATCTATAAAAAAAAATTCCCTGAAAATTTGAGCTCTTAATATCAACTCTAAGATAGTCCGCATTCCAACCTAAGTTTCTTATGGAAATAACATGAGAAAAATTTCCTTCGTTATTTAGAATTTTATTATTCGGGAATAAATGGATCTATCATGATGATTCATACATATTTTTATGAAGAATTTAACGCTCTACAAAAAAGGTCTCTTATAGTTTTTCGCTAAATCTATTAGTTTAAAAGTTATTCGAGCTTAAAGTTTAATTTATATATAACTATTAATATTATTAAGTATGATTATTAAGTAAATAATTATATATTACAAATATATTAAATATTTCTTGTAAAATTTTTATCTATGATCAAAATAAGCAAATGCCATGTTTATAATTTTCGTGGCATTATGGACTGACAAAACTTGTGAGTCACTTACGCCATCTATAATAGTATTTGTGTACTCAAATATTTCGACCTTTAAAAATATTTCTAAATCACTTAACCTCTAATTAAAATAACCAACCTGTGTGAGCTGTCAAAGAAAATATTTATTCATCATGACATCAAGAATAATTTTACGTCAAAATATTTATTTGATTGGTGATGTGGACACTCAAATTATCGGTAATAAATTGCCATCAAAATTACAAGTGCTAAAAGTTTTTTTTTATCATATACGTATTCTAAAATTAAAATTACGTGAAAGTGCTGAAATCTGTGCAGAAGAAGTTAAAGTATTTTGGCACAAAGCTCAGATACCAACTAAAAGAAAAGATCATTGCATAGATCAGTTATTAAAATTATATGAACAATATCAGCTTCTCCAAAAAAGTATGAACAGAGACTCAAATAAAATTAAAGAGGACGAATTTAAATCTTCATTGTTAAATTTATTCGACATTGCCCATGCGAATGCGGCACAAATGGTCAATGAAAATATAATGCATTTTTTGACTCAACAACGGAAAGACGGTAGAGTGGGCTATATAGCTAACATTGAGTCTGATGATAATGAACAAACCCAAAAAATGAAGGATGAACTACTACAGCTACGTTGTGAAAAATTGGAGAGAGAAAAAGCTCGATACGGTAAAA